TGACCCAGACCCCACCATCCCATGATTGTATGTGTGTGGAGTGATGCCATGTAGGTCAGTCTATGTGAGTCAGTCTATGTGAGTCAGTTCGTTATCAGACTTCCGCTGCATAAATGCTCATCCTATATTGGTTGATCTTTGGTTCTGCCCATTCTCATTGAAGTATGTAACATCCTGGCTCCACATCCATTCTGGGGAGCGTCAGTCAGGTTCCTATTCCCCCGACAAGTCAAAATTGAATACATCATAGAACACCCTCATGCTTCCTTCCTAATCTATATGGAATTGGCAAATCGCCTGGGGTTATTTTGGGGCTATTTTTGAGGGAAGGTTAACAACAGTTGTATTTTTCATCACCACTTCAAGACACCCTTCACCACTTTAGGATGCAGCCTGCCTAAACAGGTGGTTTTCAGGGTCTTCGGACCTTTCACCACTTCAGGACACCATTTACCACTTCAGGATGCAGCCTGCCTAAACAGGTGGTTTTCAGGGTCTTAGGACCTTTCACCACTTCAGGACCATTCAGGATTTTCAGACTGCCCAAAACTCTTACTTCACCACTTCAGGATGCAGCCTGCCTAAACAGGTGGTTTTCACGGTCTTCGGACCTTTCACCACTTCAGGACCATTCAGGATTTTCAGACTGNGCAGCCTGCCTAAACAGGTGGTTTTCACGGTCTTCGGACCTTTCACCACTTCAGGACCATTCAGGATTTTCAGACTGCCCAAAACTCTCACTTCAGAATTTTCATTCCTGAATTTTCAGCTACCCGTGAACCGCTTGTGCAAAACTGATCCACTAAGTGATTGAACTCTTGCTCTCACCCTCTGTGTGTTGATGATCACGGTCGTCCCATGGCATGGGGATGATCGTTTGGGGAAATGAGGAGACAAAGGGGCATTTGCTTCAAAGGCGGGATACTTCCTCAATTTGTTCCAGAGAAACTTGCAGTGGCATTGCTGAAAACTTCACAATGTTCACATCCATGAGGAGAGGGACAATACCCAAACTGGCCAGCCTCGGCAGCAAAACCATGGACGTGACATGCTTACATGAGTTAAGGGAAGTTTTTGGCTGCATGGCAAAGTGGGATGTTGTGAGGAACGATCGTCCTTCATGACATCTGTTAAAATTGGAACGATACAGAGAAAGAAGATTAGCATGGCCCCTGCGCAAGGATGACACACATAATTCGAGGAATGGTCCAAGTTTTTCAAAAAAAAAGAAGAAAAAGGTTTGTGAGTATCTGCTCTCCGGCGTCTGCAGCGATGTTTGTTTGATCAGTTGGTCAGGAGGGGCATAATGAAGGTGCATGAGGTCTTTTTTGTGAAGCGCGTACCATGTGAAATTACTGTATCTAGGAGGATTTGAACTCTTGAACTGTTTGTCAAACCCTACGTGCACGGTGGGGCCTGATGCCCTAAAATGCACGTTGTTTAATAACTACTGTGAAGGTGCCTGTGGAACCCGTGGGTAAGCTGGCCCGCCTTGGAGTGACCAGGTTGAGTGGCAGTGGTGGGGCTGCGTGTTGTCCGAGCGGAGTGTGTTGACTGTCGTGTCCGTGGTGTGGTGTGGTGTGTGTGCGGTGTGAGTTCAAGGACGTTACAGCCCTGGGGGTGGGCTGGATATCACGACCGGTGTGGATCGAGTTTTTATAACACCTCCCAAAGGTTTTAGTGGTTACGGGACTTTGTTCTTGAGGCTGAGGGTGCCGGTTCGAGGCCGTTCGTGCGTGGCGGGGCCTGATGCCGTAAAATACACGTTGTTCAGTAACTACTATTCAATTTGCAGGAAGACGTAATCTGTGGTACATGATTTGAACTTTTGATGTGTGTTTGCTGTCTGTAAGAAGCTAGCTGACAGCTCGGGCAGGCTTGGATGATGGTGGTGCCGATGATGTCATGGCTGAACAGTGAACAGTCAGTGCCTGACAATTTTGTTGCTCATATGGGCCTGACAATTTTGTTGCTCGTATGGCTATGCTGCCAAAACTTCATGGGCTGTAGCCAAAGCGATGGGTCGACACTATGCTCCTTCTGTCTGGAGGGACCTACGTCAGCTTCTATGTGAGATGCTCTCTGGAAGTCCAACATTTGAAATCTGAGCGTAGGCCTCCCGGGTACTGCGGATGGTGGCGTCTTCCCCCTTATCTCTTTCCTGGTGTTTCCTTTGCACCACTTTTCTTTCCTTTTCTTTCCTTTTCTTTCCTTTTCATTACGGAAGCGTTAGCTGTGTGCCTTTACACCACTTCTGTTTTCTCCTGCAGGGTTTAGGGTCGAAGACTACGCCAAAGCCAGCGACATTAAGCCCTAAATCTACTAGCTGAGACTAAGCTAAACTAAGCGTTATGGGTTGAGCCTATCCCCTGAGGGTTGAGCCTTTACACCACTTTTATGATTTTATCCCACTGTCTTACTGATTTTTCCCGATCTTCTATCATTCCTTGGTTTGTTCATTCAAAGGGAGATTGGTGATTGCTTCGTTTTGTTTTTTCTTTCCGGGGGGAGGGGGGAAGGGTGCACGGCGGGGAAGATTGCTGATTGCTGTTTGGGTCGCGGAATGGTTTTCAGCTTGCCTCTGCAGTTGACGATGACGAGTCCTGGAGCTGGCAGACGGCAGAGGCGTCACTGTACTGCATTCGCGCAGTTGCTGAAGCGGTCCCCAAATCTGAGGCAACTATTCTGCCCAGGGTAAGTTTGTAGTGGTAAAATCATACTAAAATGGTTGAACCAGGTTTCCTCAACTTTTCTGGTATTTTGACATCTGCCGCCAGATGTAAGTGGCAGGTCTTTATCTTTATCTGGGCTGCAGCACACACTCCATGGCTGTCTGGTATGCACCAAATCCCAGTGGAATGACTGTGTGTGTGCCTGCATGACTTGTTTACGTAGGCACGGATTTGGCCATGTGGACTGAGCTCTGAGGGATTTTCTCTTGACTTAAACGCACCTGTCTTGCACCTTACGCTTTTGGCCTCACCGCAAGCTGCTAATTCTGCGAAGGCTGATTTTCTCTGAATGATCTCCAGACATTGAGAAACTTCAAATCTGTTGGTTGCATTTGTCTTGTGTCGCAGATTATGGCGATGCTACCAACGTTTCCCAAGCAGCCGCAGCTTCTGTACACAGGTAAGCCTCTCCAGCTCCTCGTCAGAATTTATTCTATACTGTTGCATCTGGTGCCAGCATCCTTCCCTAGAATGGACATGAACTTGGCCCTAACAACATGCCATTTCTGAAGGTCGTCGACGTAGTTATTTTGACCGTTGTGTAGGCTTATGGAACGGCCGTTTGTGCCACCGCTGCGACGTGAATTGCTGCCGGTTTCACCGTCGTGAACCATAGATCGTGAGTGGGTAATGCAAGGCGGTTAAGTTGATGGCTTGACAGTGAGTGCTGTACAGTGGTTCGCCTTGGACCACCAGTCCCCCCGGCACTTCGTCATTTGGGACAATTGATACGAGTCCAACTTCTGGCCCAACCAGTACCAGTGAGTATCAAAACTTTTCCTGCCAAAAAATGGAAAAGTTTCCCGCCAGTTCTTTGTTTGTTTGCTCTCTTTGATTTTCTTTTTTTTAATAAATAGTTTTCTACAATCAGACTCGCTCTCTTTCACACTTCGCAGTCACACAAACAGATTGCAAGCCACACTGGCGCTCAGCGCTCGCTCAGTGAACCTACAAGTGCGGATAAGTGTGAAGACTGTCTTTCCCTTTGCTTGTCCCTTTCTTGTGCTTCGAGATAAATATGGCAGGTCCTGGTTAGATAGACCTGAGAGGAAAGATGGAAGCAAGGCAAGCTGACAGTCAATCCTCCACACTACTGGAGCAATCAATGCTGATCAGGGATCCTTTGGCCAGACGGAAGGAAGCGTGAGTCTGCTGATATTGTTAATTTTTTTTTGACTTGCCGGTGGAATAGGAACCGCACTGACGCGGTCCTTCGGGACATCCGTTAAAATTGGAACGATACAGAGAAGATTAGCATGGCCCCTGCGCAAGGATGACACGCATAAATCGAGAAATGGTCCAAATTAAAAAAAAAAAAAAAAAGGAACCGCACTGACTCTCCCCAGAATGGATATGGAGACAGGGCCATAAGGACCTGCTTTATTGAAAAAAAAAAAAAGAGGAAAGGACAAGTGTAGTGTGGAGATGTGATGGGAATCAGGAAATGGGTGCGATCCTCTCTTAGGAAATACTGCCTGGTGGCTGAAGGGTACATAGCACATACTGCGCCTACACAGACATATGATAAACAGACCAAGCGTTGGAATCCTGATGGAAAAAAAATAAGTTCAGGCGCATTTGGCCGCTTCACATGCGTTCTGGGGAGAGATCATCTCGAGTCAGGGGCTCCATCAAATGCTCGTGAGGGTGCATCATTGTCGGTTGGAGCGGGGAAGCAATCGGGGCGAGGTGATTTAGAATTTAGAAGTGGGTAGGTCAGATGCAAGAAGTGGAAGCTGATCCCTTTTTGGAAGAAGGAAAGGAATACCACAGGAAAATAGGGAAAGGGTGTACCAACTGAGCTAGGCACGTTGGTACACCCGACATACATAAATCAAGAAACATGTCCAAATAAAAAAGGATGAGGAGGAAGGGACAAGCGCAGCGTGAGATGTGATGGAAATCAGGAAATGGGTGAGCACTTCTTTTAGGAGGAAAGGAATACTGCCCGCTGGGCACAAGGGGACACGCAGTACTACACACACATATAAGAAACAGACCAAGAGTTTGAATACTGATGGACATTGAATAAGTTCAGGCACTTTTGACTTCTTCTCCCTTTCTGAGAACAGGCAAGGAATACCAGAAGGAAAACAGGGAAACGGTGTACCAACTGAGCTAGGCCCGTCGGTACACCCGAATCCCGATCGACTTAGATGCATGAAATGACTCTGAATTTACACCGGCCTGGTCATTTTGAAGATGATACCTCAAGGGCATTGAAGCACGCCGTATTCATATTCTCCTGTGCTTGGTTGTCATGTGTTGTCCTCTTCTGTTCTTAGCAGACACCTCATGTAGCATTCGCCTTAGGTAATACCTCATAATGATGGTCTCCATCCTTCTGAGTTGCTTCTTAGGTAACAAAGGGATGGTGTTGAATATACACCGCTGAGCAAGTGTCTTCGGTCCTTTGTTCTGGAGCTCTGTATCATTGTAAGTTTGTGAGATCTTCGTGGTTGATGAGCAATGTGGCAGGTGGTTCTGTGCGTGATGGGAATTTGTGCCATTGGTCTGGTTGGGGTTCTGGACTGGTTGCTGAAAACAGCCCTCCTATAACCTGTCTCTCAAACGTGTGGGTGGATGGTTGGGCTGACTGGTGGTTTGGGCTTTGTTTCAGCTTCCTTGACGATTGCGGCGTATTGCGATTGGCTAGCGGTTGCTCCGCATGCGTCGACAATGCTTCCCCCGCTGCTCGGTCTGCTAACGAGTGCTCTGTCAGCACCTGATGATGCGCCGCCAGCAGCAGCCCTTGCGCTCAAACATGTGTGTGACGGTATGGTCACGTAACTTTCTCTGCTTTTTCAGTTTCAGGATCTTCGTTTGAGGTTTTTAACTTTCTAGCCTTTATCCACACCGCGGCGATGCCATGGCAGGTTGAGTGCCCAGAAGAGAGGGGGCACAAGGCAAGTGTTTGTTTGTCTTTGCAATGTTTTGTGTTCTCTCCCTCTCTCATGCATATGTACAGTGGCTTGTGGAGCTCCTCTCTCTGTCGCTGTGGGCAGTTTTTTTTTTTCTTTCGGTTAACTAATTTCCCTTTTCTTTTTCTTCATCCTTTTTTCTTTTCCTTTTCAGTTTTTTTTTGTTTTTGTTTTTGTTATTGTAACTAAGCTATATTCTTCTCTCAAATTTTCCACTACCTACCATGGTAACCGCGTACCCGGACACCAGACACCGGAGCATATTCCGGACCAGTGTCTGGACCTGTCCGGACTGTCCGGTAATCCGGACAGTACCGGAAACCGGACACTACCGGACACCGGACAGTCCGGACCGGTGCCAGGGGGTCAGAAAATGTCCGGACCCAAAAAAAAAAAAAAAAAAAAAAAAAAA